TGACAGCACTAATTTTTTTCTTTTTGAACCTTTTCCCTTCAATGCTGTTCATTCCTGTCCGACCATATAGAAGCCTAGCTAACTGTTAGTTGTATATCTCCATCCACAGGATGTCCATGTATGAAGGTCACTACCAGTGGGTAACTTGTTAACACATTGTTTCAAAAAATCTGAAGCATCCCTTTATCAGTTTGAAGTGCACACACATGGCCACAGAAACCCAGCCATCACTAGGGACACCTCATGCTGTTTTTTTCTTTTCAGGTCACTATGTTATGTCTACGGTTTTTCTGATGCTACATCTGTGGGCAATTTTAATCATCATGTGGTCTTCAGGGTCCAAGTTCATCATAACTCTCTAGGGGCTCATTTTGAAACTGACTGCACTGTTTAACACCCGTTTGCACTACTACTGTCAGACTGTTATCATTTTGTCATCGGGGGTTGCTAGCAGGAGTGGCTCCGCGTAGTCCAGCTTGGTTTTCATCCAGTCTTCTGCTGCTGTGAAAAGTCCCACTGACTCACATCACGATCACAGCCAGGAACTTGTGGAGGAGGACCGCTGGAGACAGTTGGTGTCTCAGGTGGCTGAGCTAGACAGACGGAGATAAGATCATTCATAATAACTGTGACGTAGCCTGTGTTAGGGATGCCAGAAGTAAAAGAAAATAAAGGAAAAACTATCACTAAAAGAAAGCTCAGACATTTTACTTGAGACACACATGTGAGTGCAATGCTTACATCCTTCCAACTTTAAAACTTGGAGTGATATCTGAAAAGGTGTGTGTGTCTGTGCGTGACTGCCACTGCGCTTAGAAGAGGAGTCCTGCTGGCCTGGGATCAGAAACTGGAGGCTGTTGGCTGTGGAGGTCGGCAGCAACAGTCAGGGGCTGTCATCTACGTTTAGCCCTGAGACTAAATGGAAGGAGACAGAAGTTAATTTACCACACACACACACACACACGCCACAGTAACAGCACCAACAAAGCATAGCTTCCACAGACCTGGAGTAACAGACCTGACACACACTGTAACACACATTGCAATACAGGCATCTCACACACACACATTTTACACTCTGTCCTCTCAGGCCTCTCCCCAATAAAAAGCCCCAGTGCCTGAAGCACACTCCCTGCAGTGCAGTATAATCATTCCACACTTCCTTTGAGCTGCCATGGTGACAGTTTGAACAAAGACCATTACCTGTATTTTAGGTAATGGTCACTTGATAATTATGGTTGCTGTCAGGTAAAAACCTTGAATCTCCAGTAAGTCACTTTTTCAGGGTCTAAGAACAGTAGTACTGTCGTGCCAGATGTAGCTCAAGCTTATGGGATACAGTTAAAATAGAGAGTTTGTTTTTCATCGATAATAAATAACTGCAGATCATTAAAAGGTTAATTCCTGAGGTGCCCGGGTAGCCTAAGGCACATACCCCATAAGCATCAGCAACATCAATGGTTTGATTCTGGATTCTTGTTTCCTGTCTCTCTCTCGACTGTCAAATGGGAAGGAAAAACTACAAAGGCCCAAAAATGCACAAAAAATGACTCTGTCTAGAGACAGTTTTTGGTTTGTTTCTAGGCTGCTGTATGAGTTCAACATGGCAGCCGCCACGGAAGGCAACCTGCGGCGTCTATGGATAAAAACTGCTCATTCTATGGTAATGAAAACATAATGTTTAACCACTCCATTTCTGTCAATAGATCCTCCTAAATGTTACACAGTGGACCTTTAATGTCCTCCCAGTTTTTGCATTTTGAACTGCACTATGTAGTAAAACTTGCAACAACTCTAAATATCAGGACAGACAGGCATAACATGAAGAAAAAACTGAATTTGAATCAGACATGGTGTGCACCTAGGCCAGACAGGGACACGGGTTCATTTCTAACATGTAAGACAAGCAAGGTGTTTTTTTCTCATTTTTATAAATGTACATGATGGGAATACTTAGTTCAGGTGTTTTATATCCCAAAAATTGCACTCTCCTTCAGGAAATCTAATATTAACCTCATTATTCCTTTATTTGAGACAACCATTTAACCATGAGCCACTTGGTATACACTGTACAAGCACATTAAAGCAATATGATTGATCATTTATGCTTATCTGCAACTGCACGTGATGGCCCTGTTGACTTTCTGCTTCAAAGGGGTTTTGATTGAGTATTTTAAAGATAATTAAAGCACATTGTGCATGGTGAGATCACAGAGATGACTGTAAGACTGTAACTGTAACTCCAGTGTAAATGAATGATGATCAAGACCGATAGTCTACAGGCACGCAATGGCCGCTCTGTGAAATAGAACATGGGTACAGCGGTGCTTGAACTAAACGCTAACATCAGTGTGCTAACATGCTGACGATGACAATGTAAACAAGTAGACGTGCGTGCATGTAATGTTCACCATGTCCACATCTTAAAACTGGATTCATAGTCCTGCATTAAGGGGCTGTGAGCTCACTGGGATTATGACGGCTATGGAGATACCGCAGGACTGCAAGAACTGTGATAGGCCAGCTTGGGCTGCTTGCATTTTCTCTTCCAAGTTTCCAATGTCAGTGGATGTTACGTCCCTGAATTGTCTAGGGGTTGTGAGGAGTAACACAATAAAAAAAAAGGGAACAAATTTACCCTGGAGAAAGAACAAAAAGAAAGGTGGTATCACTCCAAACAAGGATTTTTATTTACCAATTAACATAAACAATACTCACAAAATGTAGAATGGTGTAAAACTGAAAACTAGATTACCTTAACATTAAGGAAGTTGAAGGATGACTCACTCAGTAAAGTCTCATTTTCAGTGAGGCACATCCAACAAAGACATCTCCTTCAGCTGACCGTCTCTTATCACAGTGAATGAAGGAACACAAAGATTGCAATTGCACAGTTGTAGTCTCCTCACTAACAAGGCGAAATAACATTTTAAGTTACCTGGATGTTCTATAGCTCATTACAAAGGGAATCAAACAGTGTAGTTACAGCAAGGAATATAATAAAAGCACAGCATGTCCCAGTCATGTACAATACATGTGGGGGTGTTATCAAGAAGTGAAATCTAATGCTGGACCTTAAATCAAAAGCTGTTGCCCCTAAATCCAACTTTAGTTTAGCATGTTAGCAAGCTAGCATTTGCTGCTTTGTATTTGGCTATAAGTTTAAGTATTTAACAGATGTAAGTTTTGGTGATGCTAGATGGAAGTCAGGGGATCCCCAAAATTAGCTACATTTTTTGTTAACCATCAATATCTCTACCCAATTCTTCGCCAATGCATCAAGTAAATCCTACACGTCATATTTAGGTGGCTAATTGAAAACTCTGACCTGCTTGTGGCGCTAGATGAAACTTCAGGTGATCACCAATGTCAGTACAATACATCATCTGGAGACCTTTGATATCTGTACCAGATTTCATGGCTATCCATCAAATAGTTGTTGAGATATTTCACACACAAAAAAAAGTCAACTTCAAAAACGATTTGAGGAGAAAAGTCAGGGGAATTACTGAAGTCTTTAGGATCCATTCTCTGGGGACCGTGTGGGCAATCCATCCTACAGTTGTTGAGTCAGTCTGGACCGGCCGGCATTGCCATCAGAGCAAGAGTCACTAATCCAGTCTAAAAGATACATTCTATAAAAGACAATTGTAATCCAATAAAAAACATATTTTACTGCATATCACATTTGAATCTTTTATCTTAGATTAGGTCTCGGTTTAAGTTCTTGCAACCTCCTTTCACCTTGTTCGAATTATCTGTGTTGTAGCTGCTTTTAAATTGGACTAAATCCATATAAAACTGTCAGTGCTGTTTCATGTCTGTACACTTATCTGTCTCGCATTATACCAGGTATCTGACTTTTACTGTAATGCATTATTCTAACACTCAACACACACACTCAGTCGTGTCTCAAAGTGCTGCTCCTGTCCTAATTGACCGTCCTGACACGTTTAACTGCCTGCTGAAAGGAGGCAGCGAGCAAAAGTGAAATTATCAGCCTTTAAAAACAAAAGCAGCGAGGCAGATATGATAAGCCTCTGTGAAGTTCAGGGATGAAGTGTAGTGGATGTAGTGGGGTGTTTTTTTTTAAGGTAATTCAAACCAGACCTGGCCAAACAGCATTTGCCAATAACTTTTAGTGTTTTTCTTGTGCCCCAAGGAGAACCAGATGGGGCGGTTTATGGGAACCATTCAGATTATATCAGGTCAATTATCACATTCATGTTTTAATCATTCCAAGACTTATGGCACAGATTTTTGCTCATATCGGGCTCTTAATTAGGCTTAAAATATGTGCACTACCTGGCCTCAAATTAAAAACAATATTATGATCTTGACAGCCTTTAAAAATACCATATATTGAAACTCTAGAAATGGAGTTGAGGCACAATGAGGGTGATCAGTAAACAGACAACTCACGTTTGCCCTTTTCCCCCTACACGTGTCCGAGTCGGAGGGGGTGGACATTAGTTCAGGGTATCCATCCATTCATCCCTCATCCATTTATTCATCTGTATCTGTCCTGTCTCGGCTCCCAGCAGCCTTCCTGCACACTGTCACAGTCTTTCATGCATGTCAGAGCTGCGGTATTTTATGTTCCCCTCTGCCCCCTGCAGGTCCTGCTGCGGTGATTTAGAGCATGGGGAGAAAGAGACAAGAGCCAGGGGCCCTGGATGGAGGAAGGCCTCCATCCTTCCTGAATTTAAATAGTACCACTGGGGAAACGCCTGCCGGGACCTGTAAAGGTAAGATCTGAGACGTTAAGAGACACACACTGGGGGTTTACTAAAAAAGCCAAAGTGGGGTCATACTTTTTAAAGGTACTCTTACCGTTCATGTTGAATGTTGTTCACTTTATGGTGGTTTGTAAACATACAGTACATGTGTAGTTGTGTGATATTCTGATTTCAGTCATGAAACTACAGTGGCCGCAAAACGGGCAAAAAATACGATCTTATCTAAAGCCTGTGTTTGGTTTGTCTCTGCTGGGCTACTGTAGAAACATGGCGGTTCCGTAGTGACACTATGGAAGACAACCCATGATGCCTGTAGATTAAAACGGCTTATTCTAAGGTAACAAAAACATAACGATTCCTATTTTCAGGTGATTATAAACTAAGTTAATGAAAACATACCTATATTCCATTTCTGCCAATAGATCCTCCTGAATGTCACACACTGGACCTTTAATATAAAAATATTGAATATTATAGTAATTGTGAAACTGCAGTATTAACAAATAATCAGAAAACAAATTCTGTACATTTCTCATGTAAATATTCAGTATTTAAGTTTTTTCCCACAGCACTTGTGTTCCTGCACAGAGAACAAACAGGCGTTCTCATTTTCTGTGAAAGGGCTCTGTTGAACAGCAGGTAACCTTCTTTTCCGATACTTGTTTGTATTGCAGTGCTTTTGTGTTTGTGAAAGAACACTAAGAAATATGATCTCCTTCTCAGAAAACACTATGATGGCACATGTGAGGAATGCAGCGGATCATCAGATGTCTGAGCGCCCCTTTAAAGTGGTGATAAATGTGAAGCAGTTCTTCAAGGTGTAAGGTGATCAAAGGCGTGGCAGAGGTCTGGCCTTGGTTTATGAGCGTGTGGTGGTCAGCTGACAGGCTCCGGGATCAGAAGGGGGAATTCACTTTTCCACAAGCACACATGTGTGTTTGCGCCCATGAATGAGCTGAACTAATGCAGAATGGTCTGTTCAGACTTCTTCAACCAGTTCCTCTGACTGATCCTCAAAAGGCTTTGTGTTATAGTTAGTTGTTTTTCCTGTCTTCATAATATCATTACTGTCCCAAAGGAACCTTCTTTTCAAAAGATGCGAACAATTTTAAAGTCCAGGTGAAATGAAAAATGTCATTTTAACCCTTTAAGATTGCATCATCAGTTATATTGTACCACTGTTGTATGCAAAAAAAACCCACAAAAACTACATTTCTTTGTATTTTTATGTCAAAATCCAGTTGTTTTTTCCTTTCTGTAAAACAAAATATGACACATACACACATGTGCATAAACTGACCAATTTCAACCAGTAACATCATGACATTCACCAATCAATCTTCAACTTTTAGCAACAGAGCAACGATTCATTAGTTTACAACATGGCTAGGAACATGGAGCGTAGAGTTTCTGGAGGGCTGGACCTTACTGATTACTGTACAAAGAAAACTGTTGTCAGCAGTCATGTTAAGCTAGATGCCATTGGCTAGTTAGCATGTACAACTAACGTTAGCGGACTCAGCCCCAGGGTGGCAGGAGCCAAACCTGTCAAAAAGTCTTACCGTGCTGTTTACTGGGAGCTTCCAGTCCTGGCAGAGTCAGCTAATGGGGGCCGCTACAGCTTCTTGACTGGGGGACATAACACACAGCGCTAATGGCTACCGCGACAAGTCCCTCTTTAGCTGCCTGTTTTTACAGGAAATACGTAACTACGCAGAAGCAAATATCAAGAAACGGTTTCTATGACAATATGAATCCATATTTAATTTTTAAAGTTTAAGTCTGTATACTGTTTAGTCTTCTTTAATAATATGTAATTCCTCTCAGGAGCCAAATTTTGTAGATTTAACATTGAGTGGCCATAAATCAGGTAAAACTTGGACAGATTCCAACATTATGAAACAATACCTGATATGTTATTGTACCCTGACATTATAGGTTGACATGTTCCATTTAGCCACCGGCAATAGAAGCATGATTAATTCAAACCACATGGCAAACCTGAAATGAAATAGAGCAGTCTATGCATGAAAAGCAGCGTGAGTGGATTTTGGCAGACAAAATGAGGTATAGATTTTTACAGAATTGGTTAATTGATGGAAATATGATTATATCTCAAATAAAATAGAGACTGACAGAGTGGAGGAATGTCTGAGGTTAAAGTTTACTAGTTGGGCAGATAATTCAAAAGCAGCCCAGATACTGGAACTGCTTATACTGTATTGTAGATCCAAATTCCCAGCATTCACTGCTGGACCACTGGAGAACACAATATTTTTAGAACCGACATGAAGAATAAAGGGAGGAGGAAAACAGACACAGAGGGGAATTGTTTCTTTTGTTCTTTTCTCTTTTTATGCAGTTTTTACTCTCAAAACACTCTCTTCTGTTTCCCTGCAAAAAAATCTAATGCAACCCTAAATCAACTGAGTATTAAAACATCGTCTTCTTTATCTCTGTCTCTGTTATAATCTTATTAAGTTGATATGGTTTATTTATCATGTTGTGTAATGAATGAGGCACAAGCCGACACTTTAGCTTTCAACAAGCCATTTATTCTGGTAACAACACAATGAAATTAGGTCTCACAGTAAACTTTGAGCTAACAAGCTCAAAACACAACGAAAGACAACATTTAGCCAACTTCTGGTTAGAAAACTACACCACAGTTATCTCTGAAGAAGTTACATGAGTCATGGAAACAAACAAGCTAGCAACAAATTACTCACTGCCAGCATAGCCACAAAAAGACTTGCCTTACAACATACATCAATCCCATTTTTACCAACAAACAGACCTTACTTACAACAGGGACAGGATACCGCAGAGTGGTGACAGAGCGTGGGGAACACCACTCAAGTCCGCAAATTTTGGCAATGGAAGAACTGGCATGGCCATTTCCAAAGGGATCCCTTGACCTCTGACCTCAAGATATCTGAATGAAAATGGGTTCTATCGGTACCCATAAGTCTCTTCCCCATGCAGTTTTGGGCACATGGTATAAATATATTATTTTTTCACCTAGTGTATTTGAATATTTCTGCATATTGGGTCCCTAAACAGTATTGGAATTGCATAAATTGGGAATGACTGGAAAGCTGAGACACATACTTCAAAAGTCAGTGCCCCTCTTTGTGCCACCCCCAAAAGTGGAAGTGCTTGGAAGTCTGGAAACATACAAAATGTATGTTCACCAGCTAGTTGCTGACTTTTTCTGCCGTTTGGTGCTGGACTGTTAGCGTACACTGGGTTTGGAAAGCCTTTCCTCTGAAAACAGCTTCCTGCTGCTTTTTAAAACTGTCAAAAACACTCATGAGAGTGGTGAGAGTGAACCAAAGCACTAAAGTTGCAGAAAGTAAAACCGAATCAGACGCTAAAAAAGAGTTGGGTGATAATTCTCTGTGGGTTCATCACTATGGTTGACACCTTTTACAAAACATATAGTCGTTGAATCCATTGTTGATACAAAACTATTGATTAATGCAGCTTTAAAATACAATATATAATCCTACGGTCATTAAAGATATAGGCTACTCCTTGACTTTGTTATAGTGTCCCCAAATCCCCTAAATGTTCTGTCAGTTCACTGTTTATAAACTCAACACAGTTCACAGCTGAGGCTCAACATCGTTATTCCCTCGCAGCCATTAGGCAAGAGGTTAACAGTAGCCGTAAATGGGGGTAAATTTGGTTAAATGAGACTTGACAGCAGCCCCCAAAACACATGCTCAGGTCTCAGGAAGAAAAGACCTTGTGCAGCCCCTGGAGAAATGTTAAACCTATTTGCCAGAAGGGTCAAAGGTCAACCCAGTGTGACCCTGACTCTTTGTTTGTTCAGTGGGTCACCACCTGGATCTGTTTCTAATTGTGGACGCTGACTTAAAATATGCCTTTGTTACAGTAGGGGGAAGTTGAAGTCGTTCATTAAACAGGTGGGCGGGAAACAAGTTGACAGGCCAGTGTGTTTGATAGTTGGAGCCGGGTTGGAGGAGAGTGTGTGTGTGTGTGTGTGTGTGTGTGTGTGTGTGTGTGTGTGTGTGTGTGTGTGTGTGAATAAGTGTGTGAAGGTTTCAGTATCATTTATATGACTTCTGTTTCTATTTCTGTCTCCCGTTGTTTTCTTAATCTGCTTCTCTTTCTCTGTCTTTTAACTACTCTGTCTTCTTTTCTCTGTCCTTTTGTCTTTCTCTCTCCCCTGCTGCTCAGAGGTCATTCGTCCTGGTCAGTTGTCTATAGGGTAGAAGAGGAGAGAACAAAGATGCAGTCTCAGTGAGGGGTTGACTGTCTGTTAGCCTTTCACCATTCTGCTCACTGTGCATCTTTAAAAACACATTACATACCTCTTGAGTCCCTCATCAGACACTCACTCACACGCACAGAAAGACACACTGAAGTGTTGTTCTCCTCCTAACTGATTAGCCTCATTGATTAGCCTACAATACACATGTAGTTATCCTAAAACAAACACAAAGACCCCTTCCAGTGTTGAAGGCACTTAAATGAACAGTTCGGTCAGTAAGTCTCACTAGAGCAGGTTATTAAAGCATGACTAGATTGTGTGTTGTTAAGCTTCTCTAGTCAGGAATTTTATATCAACAATGGATGACATTTTTACATATAATGTGAAAAGGGTGACTCATATAGTGACAAAACCACAGAGAATTATCATCCGACTGAGAGGTTTTAGTGTCTTTCAGCTCATTGTTTTGGTTTAACACCCGCAACTTTACTGTTTTAGTTGTGCACTGTTTCCAGTTTGAAGCTGTTTAAAAGCTGTGGTTAACCCACTGTACACAGTAACTCACCAGCATTAATCAGCAGACAGACAAAGTAGCTTTGATATAGCATTGCATTGTGTTAGCGTCACACAACGGAAGTTTGGTTTGGTACTGATTTAAAGGTCAAGTGTGCACTATTTAGGAGGATGTATTGGCAGAAATGGAATATAATCATACGTATGTTTTTCACTAGTGTATAATCCTGAATATAAAAATTGTTGTTACCTTAGAATGAGCCGTTTTTATCAACAGACTCTTCCATGGAGGCCGCCATGTATGTATATAATTGGCAGCAGGTGGTAAGCCAGTGAGGGGTCATGCCCTACTGGTTCCGCTGGGAGCCTGTACAGAGGGGATGGGGAAGCTCCTCACTAGCAGAGAAAGAGGCAGCTGGAGACTCCATGTGGTGTATTTTAACATAGTGTGTGGCTTTGAATTGCTCACATATATTTTGCTTGTTTGGACTGAAGCAACTCGTTCCATCTGTTGTGCCATAATATAATGCACAAATGAAAGGGCATATATTCACATGGTGCATTCTAATAGCTGGGGAAAGGAGGATAATACATCTGGTGAGGGATATAAATAAATTTGACCTGTTCTGCTTCTCTAGTCACTGAAGAGCATTATATTTGATGTATTTGTGAATACATCAGAGAGTCCGTATGGAGTCCATATGGATGTGATGGTTAACTGATGGTGCAGTGAAAGGTAAGTGGGTTACCTCTCTCATACTCTATCCACAACTATTTTAAATTGAAAACAGCTCTCCAAATCAGTGGCCTTCAATATTTTCATGTGGGTACAGCTTGTGGGCACAGCAAAGTGGAGAGCACTTAGTTTGATTTAATTTAACAAGTCATGTTTGGATTTGATTATTTTTACATTTCCCTTCAGATGATTCAAGAGCACTCAGATGATTTGATTTTTACATTCCATAATAAAAGACACAGGGACAGAATTTATTGGTTAAAAATGGCTAATACTTTTAAACACAACTAGTTCTAAGCTCATTTTTGCGCCGCTGGCTGGGACCATTCTCAGTTTTATTTGCATCTTCAGTGGATGCAAGGCTATGCATCAGCACACTTTAATACAACTTCAACCAACCAATTCATCTTCTTATGTCATTACAATCATAATCATGTCAGGATATTTATTTTGTCTATGTCTATAAAACTTCCAGGCACCACAACACTGGAGCATTATGTTCTTTATTGTGGAAATATAATTATGCTTACTGAGTAGCTTGTTACTGTATGGGCAGCTGGTGAATACTTTTGACACAAACTCCCATTTAAAATGTCCAGTACCTCTGTAATGATGCAGTCACTGTGGTAAATCAATACATCAAGAAATATTT